CTTTAATCAAATAGTTTGTATATATAATTAGAAAATCTCTAATTAATTATAGGAATCCACCACAATCAAAATATAATACAATGCCTCAACAATATCTTAGTACTTGGTGTCGAAAATTACATGCTGAATATTTTACAAAATCAATACTAATGATATATGATCCGCGTTATATATTATTAAAAGTAACTGCAACAACAATATGTGGTTCTAATCCATATCTATGTAATGAAACAGTGGTTTATATGCATGATGATGATATACTTGGTCATGAATTTATGGGAATAATTGCCCAGATCGATCTTTCCGACCACCGGATACTGCAGGAACCGTTAGGAAATTTCGGGAAAAATCACCGTATCCTGCATGCAGCAAAACTCGGAAAATAGTGAGAACTGAAAGCAGTATTCCGGCCTGAAATTTTCGGGTCGATTTTCGGTGTTTTCCTGCCGGAACCGGCCCGTACTTCTCGACCTGTGTGACCGAGTTATGATCAAGTTACTAAACTACATGTTGGACAGCGCGTTGTTGTTGCATTTAATATTGCTTGTAGTTTTTGTCAATATTGTCAACGTGAAGAATATGCTGTTTGTGATACAACTCATTCGTCAAAACTTCAAGAAGATCTTTAGGAACAAAAAAAATGTACTCTTTTTGAATATTCATGTTTAAAAGGTGAACTACTATGTGGACAAGCTAGTTATATTCGAGTACCATTTGCTGACATGAATTGTTTACCAATACCAAATGATGTACCAGATGATAAAGCTCTTTATTTATCAGATATTATTCCAACAGTATATCATGGATGTCACATTGCAAACGTTAAAGAAGGTTCAATTGTTGCTATTTGGTGTCTTGGTTCTATTGGTTTACTTCAAACACGTTGACATCAAATACTTGGTGCTATAAACGTATAATTAGTATCGATTATGTTCTTCAACGACTTGAAGTTGCCCGTCAAATGTTACGAATTAACGCAATTAATGTTAAAGAATATGAAACAGCGACAAAATTATTTGAAATGGTACCTGGTGATGTTGATTGTTCATTACAAGCTGCTAGTTTTAATTATAGTAAACCATTATTTTATAAAAATGAACGTTTTCCTCAGTCGAAAACCGATGGAGATATATTGACTGAAATGATTACATGTACTCGAAAATCTGGAACGATTACAATGACTGGTAATTATAATAATGCCGTTAGTCATATTTCTATTGGTCAAATGATGGGAAAAAATTGAGGTATTATTAGTGGACAATCTCATATGCAAAAGTATTGGAAAATGTATTTAAATAAAGTCTGTTCAGATGAAATTGATCCAAAATTTGTTGTATCATATCATTTTCAAATTAATCATCTGTCTGACTATTATCAACAATTCATTGATGAAGAAAGTGGAGCACTTAAATGTTCTATTCAACTTCAGAATTGAACTTGGACCACATAAACTATTTTTTTATAAACATTTTCTTTGATTATCCATTTTCGGTGGTTTTTTGTTATGAATAAAATTCATTTATCTTCTTCAAGTATTGTAGCAGATCATAATAATTGTATTTTCTCATTTATTTAATAATTAAATATAATTAGATAACATGTGTATAGATGAAAATATTGTTTGTAGACAGCCACGTCATCCTTACTACAGAAACGTTTTTAAACAATAAGTCATTTGTTTCATTACTTCATCTTTATTGATATATAAACAAAATATTACAATAGGATAAATAACAAATTGATTTACAACCAAGGAAAATAATGGTGGCATTCTTCTGGATATACCATTGGTGTTGAACTAAAGATAATATCGCAATTTTGAACAATTAGAATGAGCAGTATCACTTTTAAAATCTTCTGTAACGTCTGCCAACTTTTCATAGTCAATATACAACGTGTTGAGACGTGGTAAACGTGTGTTTGAGTCAAGAAGAAATTGTTTCGCATAGTCAACATGAGAACCACTGAGTTTGAGTGTCATAAGATGAGAATACTCAACAATCGAAAATGTGTGTTCATGTTCATATAGATTTATTTGATCGTTTCTTCTTTTGTTGCATTATAATTAACACAGTCAAATTTTCAAGTAACGGAAAGGCTTGAGAGATAAGAACGAAGAAATCATGTACAACTAAGTGATAAACATGACTGAATAAACATCCAGAAAATTTGGTAGTAATCTCTTGTATATGCTCCATAGTAATTAGAAGGGAGTAAATATGGCATCGACCTGATGTATTAAAAAGATAATCGATATCACAACCAACATGATATCCTCTTTGGATGAGCGGAGGTCGAACATCATCTGACGTTGGTAAAAGTTCCTCATCCATTGTGACATCTTCAGTGTGAATATGAAAAATAAATGTATGTAGATGCAACATTTTACTAATGATATCATTATTCAGATGAGTGCCATCAATAAATGAAATTCGACCACGAACTAGAAGAGATAATGTTAGCTTTTCTAATTGTGACATTTGACGAAGAAGTGGTAGAATTCGATTATCAAACTCCAATATTGGCCAAAATAAAGTCAACGAGAAACATTTTAGATTCGATAGTTTTCTATAAAAAAAATAACATAAATAGTAAGCAATATCAAATTGATTATTCATTCAATATTGGATCTAACAACTAAATATATTGCCTCTATTCTATTTCGGTTCTTCTGCCTTATCCATCAATGACCAAATGAAAACTTCATCAAGTATATTAACTCAAAGCATTTTATAGCCGAATCTTCGTGCTTAGTATGTTTGTCCATCTTTTTACAGAAAATCGGTGGCATTTATAATATATTCGGATGCCTGAATTTAATTTCTATAATATTGAGGTTTCGGAATTAATTTCTAGGAAAATATTTTCTTCTCATTCAACACTTCAGCTCTAGGTTTGATAAGTTCTTTCAACATCTTTAATACTACTAGACCGATAGAAATTTAACACTATTCACAATAAGAGTCTTTTCATCAAAAGTAACTTTGAAATTACAAAGAATAGAGGAAAAAATAAAAATAACTTTCATATTAACATTGATAAAATTATTGCTCTTTATGAACCAATCTGAATCATAAGTAAACAAAGTCTTCGAAACTAATTAAAGACGAAATTAAACGAATAATCAATTCAGGCTTTAAAAATTTCACAATATACGATCTTTTCGTTAATTTATTCTAATTTTCTAAAATCTTTTCATTTTTGTTTTTTCTAGTAAATTCAAATTCATTAGAAAAACTCTCTATCTATTGATCTTATACTAAATCAAAAAAGTTCTAACAGGTAAAATGAATAATATAATTTCATTCACTTATTATCCTCATCATTCTTTTGTTACATCATTAAATATCTTTTAAGTTACTGGTTTATATAGTAATATGGCTATATCAATTTCGTGTTCTCAAATAAGTACATTTTGTTTCAGTAGTTTATTTCGCGATATAGAATTGCTTTATTGTTCTGAAAATCGTCGAAATAAAAGAGCTCTTTCACTATGATTTAACATATATTACCGTATTATTTCATTGATGTATTATAAATCCTATCAACTTGTACAATATATGTATTTAATAGACTATAATGCCTATCAAGTAAACGAAGACCATCAGCAAAATCGAGCGCTCTAACATTCAAATGAACAATACTTGATGGATAATATGTTGTAGACAGTAAACCAATAAGTGATCTTGGGGAATACAGAAAATCATCATTCAAACCGAAATGAAGATAAATTAAATTCGTAAACATTGCAAAAATAGTGGTAAAAACATTTGTAGACAATTGCTGTATATGTTCAGCTGTCCTCTCTTTAATCGTAACAGTAAGATGTACAATCTGACTGTTTGAAAATGTGAACAAAAATGATGATGCGTCTAAATATATGCAATAAATAAAGTAATCGAATCAGTTTGTCTTTATAAAGATTAAGAGAACAGATAATATACCATTGAAAATGCAAGATACCACTTGAAGTTAAACATTTCTAAGAGTAATTTTATGGAGTTTAGAATAATTTCCAATACGAACAACACGATCTGTTGAAAATGCATCAAGAGTAAGGCATTCAATATTGTGTTGAATTCGAGGTACTATATCAGAACAAAATCGATCAAGTATTGAATTATTTCTTGAATTATTATCTTCATTTGATGATATTCTTACTAAAACAACAGATTGTGTGAAAGTAATGTCGCGTGCCAATCTATTGAGTGTAGTATTGGTTCCTATAAGCGAGTAGAATACATCCATATTATCGAGTTTATTGAAAATGACAAGCAACATCTCATTGCATAGACTAAAAATATTAACAGTTGAATCGTTCATGTTCAATTATAAATGACAAATATTGTCAATACAATCTTATATATAAATGTTTATGTTCATTCTATACCATATCTGATGTCGTGAACAACGGTAATATTAAATAGCTCGATGGTGAATAGAACGACCTTTGATAACAGTCAAGGTTGTTCATAAATGAATAATGATGTTTCGTCAAGAATGGAATTATCAATAACAAATGAGTCTATTCAATATTGTTTTCAATAAGTGTTTATTCGTTATACTCATTCGTAGACGATTACGAGAGAGGGTATTAAATCATCCCAGATTATATAAAGATGTACAATATGCATTCAGTTTTCATCACTTGGTAGAATTGCCACTGTTCGTTTAGTTCAGACTCAGTACTAACCCTCACTCAGTGCTTTATGGAGTGTGAATCATACTACAGTAGTTCATTGATTATGTCTAGAAAAAAGTACACAAATCAACAAAGAAATATAAAGGAGGAGGGCGAATAAGGCCGATTTTTTGAACTTCTTCAGAATTGTTTTATTGCTATTAGATTTGAATATGGGATTACCCCTGATCATTTCTTTCAGCTTTATTTTGAAAAAAATGAGATCGTCGATTTTCGTCCTTGGGGTCTCCCACAGGTATTGTCGAAAAATAAATTTCACTTCTTGCCGATCAAAACTACATGTGCTTTTACAATAAAGTGTGCTGATTACGAATATCATAATAAGACCTCTCAAAAGCTCTTTCTTCTTCATATAGTCCGGACCACTATCTAGGCCCCATTTTACATTGTTGGCCTCTGCCAAGAATAACCATTCTTGAAATTTCGGTAGAAAATACTTTTTCTAAGTCAGAATTTTGAGCTCTCCCTCTCTGTAGATCACAAGGAAAAAAAAGAATTTAATTCACTTTACCCTCGAGTTTCATTTTTTTATTTT